TTGAGCCAGAGGCTCGAGGGGCTGGGTGAGCCTGCAGTCTTGGGGGTGGGGCTGGAGCGCAAGGGGCGGGGCCAGAGGACTCCCAGCGGGTGGAACTGTCTGGGTTGGTTCTGGGGCCAGCACTAGCCCGCGGCCCACAGGCCCCTTCTCACCTGGGTCCTAGAGATGGGTTTCAGAGGTGGACCCTGCGGGCCCGGAGCAGTAAGCCCAAAGTGACAGAGCAGCCAGAGGCACAGGAAGTGAGAGTGAGCGGTGATTTCCACCCAGTGCGTCAGACTCCCGGGCCGTATCTGGACCCTGGGAGGCTCACTTGCCAGGAACTGTCTGCCTGATGGGTCTTCCCCTTCTGACCTTGGTGTCATCAGGGTAAAAGGCTCTGCCCTAGAGGCGCCTCCAGCTGTGCTCCGGGACAGTACCCGCTCTCTAGCCTGAGTCGCTGTGGCCGAGCTTAGTTTTTCAGAACCGCAGGCTGCCCACCCACTCGCTGATCCCTGCAAGAAACTGTAGTGGAATCCCGTCCAGAGATTAACAAAAAGGGCCATTTTTATAGCTGGCCGCGGCTAGCAAACAGACTCGACTCGAAACAAGCCCGAAGTCGGGCACCTGGGCAGGTCAGAGGGAAGAGGTGGGGATGGTCTAAGCTGGACCGCCGCGAGCCCAGGGGACGAGGGGGTAGGCACAGGGTTAGCTCTCCAGAAACGTTGATGAATGTGCTGATAACACAAGTTCACATCTGTATAGCTGATCTGTAAACGTGCTCACTGATAGACAACATAATGCAGTCCTTTCCCATGAATCCCTGCAAACGGAGTCCATCTCCCACACTGGGCGAAATCTGATTCTGACACTGCCCTGAAGAGCAAAATGCCCATTCCAGCCTTTGATGTGAACTCCTTCAAGAAGGGCTCCCCCTACAGCCAGCTTTTGAGTGATAGAGCAGGAGCATGGAGCCTATCCCTACTATTATTCTACAATGGCTGCACTGGGCCACATTCTCCTTAGAGGGCAGCTACTACCACATCCATCCAGTGTCCCTTGGTAGGTTTCCTGTGCCCCCCACCGGGCCCAACCCTCCAGAGACACTCCCTCATTACCAGTGCCTCCACCACACTCTGAGCTATAGTGGGGAGCAAGGATCTCCTTGAAATGGAGCCTGTAACTTCCATCCATTGCTCTGAACCCTGGGGCTGGAAAAATAAAACATATAGGAAATGGCTGTTTGGATTTTCAGGGCAGTGCTTAACTTATTCTGTCTCACTAGCCAGAGAATGAATAGAAATGGCTAGTATTTATAGAACACATACTATATACATGTCATATTCCAGGTATTTTACTCTTATTTTTTAATTCCTCACAACTTCATGTATCACCTCAATGATTAATGAGGGGAAAGGAGCAAATTGGAGGTTTCTTGAGGTTGGGGAGTTAATCAGCTTCAGTCCCATAGTGTCAAAAGGCACAAGGGGATCAGTAGGAAGCCCAGTGGGTGAATGCCTTAGAACACGTACTTTAGAACCAAGCAGGGTTGAAATCCTGGCTGGACTCAATAAGGTTGTGCTAAGAACTAATTGGCATGGTGGAAAGTGGATGAACTACACTGAGGAGGTGAGGAAAATGCAGCCTTAGTTGAGGCCATCTCAGTCAACATGCCCTGGACAGTCACACCCACCAGGAGTTCTAACTGGTACATGTGTAGTGCAGACACCTAAATCCCACCAGCAGAGCACTAGCCATGGTATAACACAGTAAAACTACCTTCTAGCTCAGGGGTAGTTGGCACACTACAACCCACTGGCCAAATCCAGCCCACCTGTCTCTCTGCATGGCCTGCAATCTAAGAGTAGTTTTTGTGTTTTTAAAAGGTTGAAAAAAATCAAAAGAAGGTTATTTTGTGACATGGAGGAGTTATAGGAAATTCAAATGTTAGGGTCCATGAAGTTTGTGGGCACACAGCCACACCCATTAATTTCTGTATTGTTGATGGCTATCTCTGTACTACCACAGCAGAGCTGAGTTGTTGTTACAGAGATCATGGAGCCCACAAAGCCTAATATAGTTACTACCTAGATTTTTACAGAGATAGTTTGCTGGCCTCTCTTCTAGCAGCTTGAACTATGGCAAGGAAGAATATTAATAGGTGATGGTATGAGACCTAAAGAGTGTGCTCTACCAGAACATGGGATCACACAGGAATAAGAACCAACAGAAAAGGGTAATGCTTACCATGTGCCAAAAGACACATACTCAAAAAATGTAATTAATCAAAATATTGCAAATGTTTGAGGTCAGTTATCCTACCAGATAACTCTCCCTATGTAAAATGACTCATCTGGGGTCTGGCTAGTCTCGCAGTCTCATATAAGTTAGGTTAGTGTGAGTCTGAAAGGGGTGATGACATCTAGGTCCTGAGCCTGCCAGACTGACAACCATCCTAGAACTTGGTAATTCTCTCAGCCAGATAGTGGCTATCCTGCTGAATCGAAATTGAACATGGAGTTGATTTCCAAACAGAAAATTCTACACTTAGCAACTGTGATTCTGTGCCTGCCCCTGGACACACACACATACATTCCCCACTGCCCCTGAACATGGGAGCTGGGACCAACTCCTGGCCTAGCCTGCCTTGTCCCCACCCTCTTGCTACTCCTTGCACCTTCCTGAACTTCTCATATCCTGAAAATTGTCACAAACTGGAAAAAACATTTGGTCTGACAAACTCCTCTCCTAAAAAGCCCTCCTTTCCTCAGCTCTGACACTGGCAGATAAGTATGCCATGGACAAATGGCCACCAGGCAAGTCTGGGAGTACAAGAGAGACATAGATGGAGCAGGAGAACTTCTACGTATCTGAGCTAAGTAGACTTCTGAGGATTAGCCTGGTATTCCACCACTGCCCACCCTTCTGCCCCCCACCTCATTACATACCATAGCCTTGGGAAGATGTGTTCGAAATGCCAAAACAGCTATTATCTCACAATCACTAGTGCAGAGTTCCTGTCTCGCTCCCAAGTGCCACAGACTCCTCCTTGCAAAGTCCCCCAAGGAGGCTTCCTTCATCCATGGTCAAAATCACTCCCACCTCATAGCATCTGCCCACCAGGGAATTGGAAAGGCCTTACCACCACCCCCACCACTGTGGAAGGAGCCCATCTTGAGAGGACCACTGTCTATGTCAGGAGTGCCATTTCCTGCTAACCTCTCCTCCAATTGATCTTTGGGATGCCAGAATGGATAGGGAGTCCATGTTAGGGCAAAGGCAGCGACAAAGACCCCTGGGATCCACGGCAGCTCAGCTCATGGTTTCAACAGCCCTTCCACCAGCTTCCTCTCTTCGTCCACAGCCTTGGGCCCTAATCCTTCTTAAGAAAACTAGTTTGTGGGCCTCTGCATCTTAGGGATGGGAAAGGGAGCAACACTTCCCCTTCCCACCACACTCCAAAGACTCCATGCATATCAAGGGGAATTCAAGTGACCATTGGAGGGAAAGGAGAGCACCACAGGCTACAAAAGTTCCCCAAATTCCTGACATCAGACATCAGCAGGTCCTTACCAGTCCCAGACAAAATAAGAAAAATGAGGTTGTTGTGGCAAGTTTTCCCCTATAAAGGTAGAATACTGACCTTTATTCTGAAATTATGGGCTTTTTTAGTATACAAAAGTCCATTTATTTCATAAAAAGATGGTAGTGTTTTGTTTAATGTGCTTACTTTGCAAAATAGAAAGTTGGCAACCCTACCAGTCCTGAAAAGAAAGAAAGAAAGAAAGAAAGAAAGAAAGAAAGAAAGAAAGAAAGAAAGAAAGAAAGAAAGAAAGAAAGAAAGAAAGAAAGAAAGAAAGGAGAAAGAAAGAAAGGAAAAAGAAAGAAAGAAATCTACTTACTAGTAAAATTCACAAGTCTGGGAATCACTGCATACACCAGCAATATTCAGCCCACCCAGGACCCTGAAACATAGGAATTTTTTTAACATACCCATATGTAAACAGAAGCCCTGAAAATAGATTCAAAAACAACGTTTCCTTTCATATTTTTTGAATTATAAGGAAATTATCTCTCAGTCTCCTCTGCCTCTCCACAGAGTTATTCTCTTCTCCCTTGGATGTTATGGTAAGGCCAGGTCAGGCA